TGAATGTGACCTGACTTGGTGGTGGAGGGGGAAGAATGGAAATGCATACTGATGTGGGTGTCAGTAAGCAGAAGCTTTTAGAAAGGCTAGTGGAAGGTAAAGAAGAGCAGAAATAAAATGGAGAGGATTGGAATGAATATCCTGAGCAGTAATGGTGGCCTTTTGAAAACTTGGGACATGATTAGGAATCCAAGACTTTCCCTAATGAATACTAGGGTGCCAAACTGTTTGCTTTACAAACTGAGTTAAATCTGGATAGATGATGCATCCATGAAAATTAGGCATAGAGGTGCTCCCTGGTGGCGCAATGGATTGGGAGGCAGCATTGCCTCCCCCACCCCCCCCACTCCCGCCTGGAGGTGATCCACGTGGCACAGCGGGCCTCCCCTGTCTTGCCCACTGCTACCCTCAGCAATGTACTTTGTCAGTCTGCCTGTTCTGCTCCCTGCTGTCTCTGGTAAATCTCTCACCCCCTGCACCTTGGTCTTGTACCCCAGTTCTGTATGCATGAATAAATAAATTTGAAACGATAAGCAGAAGAGCTAAAAAGACAAATTAAAAAAAAGAAAAGAAAATTAGGCATAGATATAAAGCTAATATCGACAATTGTCATCTTTATCTATGTCATTTTTAGTGTTCACTTGGTTATTTATGTGGCAGGCAATCTTAAGCAGTTTCATAATCATTGTTTAATCTTTACAGTAGGGGACTTCTTAAAAAATGAGATAAAGTTGATTTACAACATTATATATTTTCTAGGAGTATAAGTTTGTACCTTTTTACTATAGGTAGGGGATCTTAATTTAAAACGTTTTTAATGCTTAGAACTTTGGCAATGAGGTTAATTAAGCCTGTGATTTCTTTCTCAGAAAGTTTTAGACAAATAAAACAAAATATATAGGGTCAGAATATATAGGATCAGAAATGAATGCAGCTACAAAAATGTGTATGTACATATATATATATGTGTGTGTGTGTGTGTGTGTGTGTGTGTGTGTGTATATATATATATATCTCACTGCTCAGGATAGTCAAATATGCTCTGTGAATCAAGAGCGTATTTTGTCCATTGTGAAAAGTAGAAAACCTTGAAAGACTCAAAGTCTTGCATCTTTCTATGTGAAGTTCCAGTCACTAGGAAACAAAGCCGTTGATAAAAAACTGTTTACATATAATAGCTGTTCAGTTTACATTATATGATTGTTCTGCTGCCATCTCTTAAATTGATTTCTTACACTGTGATCAATATTGTTTGGGTTTATGTAAGTGAAATGTGCAAGAGTATATTTTACTTTAGGCATAGTTTGATCCACATCTCAAGTAAAACAGTTTCCATCTTCCTACTTTCTCTGGGTTATTTAGGTTCCACATGGTGAATCTCCTAGTAGTAATAGTTTTACATTCTCCTTACTCTTATCGCTTTTCTGCCTCTAAGTCCAATAAAAACAAAGTCTGTGTATCAATTTTGGCAAAATTCTGGTTTTTCACTCTGATAAAACTATAGTTGTATGGGCTCAGCCTCCCAATCACTGTAATCTAGGGAATAGGATTCTCCTCCACTCTAAGTACAATACTTTTTGGAACTGGTAATGGAGAGGACTAATTTCCTAAACCACATACTAGCTGATGTTGGGGAGAAAAGTGGCTTTCCACAGAATGTGTGGAATACTATTTGTTCCTTAATAAAGGAAGAAATCAGGCCCTCCCTGGTGGCGCAGCAGGTTAAAACACAGCACTAAGACACTAAAGCCACTTCAGCAGGAGTTCGATCCCCACCCCAGAGGTGACCCACATGGCATGGCAGATCTCTCCTGACCAGCTGCTGTTCCTCTCAGCAGTGTATTTCATCAGTCAGCCTGTTCTGCTCCCCACTCTGTCTCTGGTGAATCTTTTCACCCCACACCTCTGGCCTGTACCCCACTTATGTATGCATAAATAATTAAATCTTTTTTAAAAAGGGGGGATGGGAGAAATCATGCTGTATGTTAAAACACAGATTTTTACTATCCCCTCCATTCTATTTTGATCTCGAATAACAAACTCTAAACCTACCACTGTCAGATAACTTTTTTTTCCCTTCTTAAAAGGAGCAACATGAGGACTAAAAGACTGAAATAGTTTGCATAAGGGAAGGATTATGGAATGGGAAAAGAGGGAAAACAAGACTTCAGGTGATGTTCTTGGTCAGCTTCAATAAGAAGTGAAAAAAAATTATTTTGAATTAAAAAAAAGTTTAAAAAAGAAAGCCAAATATACATGCAAATATTTTGTTCCCTTTCCTTTTTTACACCATTTTATAGGCTATTTGTCTAAAAATGAGTGACCGTTTTTATATGCTTTAATACCACAAATGCCTTGCTCTGCTTTAACAGGCTAATATTCTTTTCAAATGAGTTAGATCATATATGTAGTAAGGGACTAAATCAGTTAATAAATTATTTAGAACCTACTGTTTTCTGAACTTCTATGTTAAAAATACTTAGTCATCAGCGGTAATTATTTCTAGTTTAAGCAAATCCAGTAATTGTTTCTTGTATACAGTTTGCTTTCTCCAGTCTCTGCTGTTTTCTCACCTGTTATTTTTTATACTGAAACTTTATTGTACATCAGGGTCATCTTCAGGGCTTATTAAAACATTTCTTCTTAACATGTATGTATCTGTGGTAATTTCACTGGAACCTTAAAACGTATTTCTTCTATATACTGGGATTAATCCCAATTAAATTATCATGTTTTCCAGAGTAATACAATCTTCCTTTTGTTTGTTCAGCCACTTGGAACGAGTGGACTGCTCGGTAAATGTTGCTGGTAATTCAATTTTCAGTTGCTTGGTTGTTTAAAAAAAATCTCCATTTCGGGGCCCTCCCTGGTGGTGCTGCGGGTTAAAGCACAGCACTAAGAACCGAAAAGCACTTCAGCATGAGTTCGATCCCCAACCCTGGAGGTAACCACATGGCATCGCAGACCTCTCCTGACCGGCCCATGCTCCCCTCAGCAGTGTGCTTCGTTGATCTGCCTGTTCTGCTCTCCACTTTGTCTCTGGTGAATCCTCTCGCTGCCCCTGTACCTCTGGCCTGCACCCCAGTTCTGTATGCATAAATAATTTTTTTTAATCTCCATTTCATATTTATTTGTATTCTAAATTATAAATGTATTTTGGGGTGAAGTACATTGAATCCTGAGATTATGAAATGTATCCAATATGAAATGTATCAAAAAGTAAGATGGATTAATGGTGGAGTATACATCTATAGCAAAATGATAAGAATTGTAGAATCTACATGTTGGAAATATGAGTATTCACTTAACAGTTTTTCAACTTAAAAAAAAAACACAAATGTTTCATAGTGGATTATGAAAATTGTACTTACCCAGAAATTATGATGGATATGGCTAATCAAATATTCCCATTGGATTGAAATATGATACTGCCATTTATTTAGGTCAAAGACAGATAAATATAGGCAGTTTCACTTGATTCAAATGATGACTAAAATTGGCTTAATATAAAATGTGATTTACTTTAATACTGATTATATGGGTCATACTTAGCCATATATGTTCAATACTTAGCCATATATGTTCAGTTGTTGAGATTAGACATTTATAAGAACCTAGAAAGTTCTAGATATTGTCTGTATTTTGTTACCAAAACATATACATGTCCCATATATAATGTAGATATTTAATTAAAGCTTGAATTAGTGTTTTAGACACTAAAGGTTGTTAGCTTGCTGTGCACTTTCACTTAAATAAACAAGTGGCTTCTGTCAGAATAACTAGCTAATCTGCCTCAACGTAGTCACGAGGTGCAGCTCAGTGAGGTCTTCAGTTCTAGTAGAACAACATGAAGTTCAGTGTGTCTTCCAATTTAAACTTATGCATTAGAACAGGGAAAAAGCTGAACTGAAATATGCCTACATTAACTTGGTTATGGTGAAAAAATATATATTAACATCTCAGATAACAAGTCTGCTTGTACCAAAATGTCAAATAAATTGTAATAAAAAAATGCTACTGAATTATACTTTTAAAATTGCTAAAGTAGGCCCTCCCTGGTGGCGCAGCGGGTTAAAGCACTGCACTGAGAAGCTAAAGCCACTTCCCCATGAGTTCGATCCCCACCTGCCCCGGAGGTGACCACATGGCGCGGCAGACCTCTCCTGACCTAACTGCTGCTCCCCTCAGCAGTGTACTTCGTAGATCTGCCTGTTCTGCTCCCCACTCTGCCTCTGGTGAAGCCTCTCACTGCCCCTGAGCCTCTGGCCTGTACCCCAGTTCTGTATGTACAAATAAAATCTTTTAAAAAAAAAATTGCTAAAGTAGTAAATTTCATGTTATGCATATCTTACCACACACAAAAATTTTTTTAAGGTAGTATTTTTGGAAGGCAGGTATATTCATCTCTACCAATATGGTTGGGCAGCATTTCTGGATAAACATAAAATAGTCTGAGGACCTAGACATCTTGACTGAGGTGGGTCAGAATGCTTAAAAAAGCTACATACCTTCTATTTTTAGCCAGGCTTTATGAAATATGGCTGAAATAGGAAGCTGAGTAAAGTCACAATTTTTGGGTATTATTGCCGTAGATTCAGTTCAGCTTTTCTCCCTGTTCTAATGCAGAAGTTTAAGTTGGAGGACACATTGAAATCCATGTTGTTCTACTGGAACTGAAGACCTCACCGAGCTGCACTTCTGTCTACTATTTTCCATTGAGATAGATTAGCTAGTTATTTTGATAGAAGCCACTTGCTTATTTAAGTGAAAGTGCATAGCAGGTTATAAACTTTAATTAGCAGTTTTCATTTTACTGTCAAACATTGTCAGGGAGGGTCTCATCTAGTTAAACTGTATTTGCCCTAATGGAAACTGAAGTCAAAACTTGTGTTAATTGAGAGAAGAAATACAGGATAGCTGTAAATTAGACTTGAGAGCTATAGTGGAGAGAAGACCAGAGTCTTAAAGATAATGTCATTATTTTCTCTTTTAATTTACAGAAGTTGCTGGGTGTGTTTTGCCACTGATGAAGATGATAGAACAGCTGAATGGGTGAGACCATGCAGGTGCAGAGGATCTACAAAATGGGTTCACCAGGCTTGTCTACAACGCTGGGTGGATGAAAAACAAAGAGGAAACAGTACAGCCAGAGTGGCATGCCCTCAGTGCAATGCTGAATACTTAATAGTTTTTCCAAAGTTGGGTAAGAAGATCCTTAAAAACAGACAGATATCTGATGTTATTATATATATATATACACACATACACATATATAAATATATATAAAGATATCTATATATCTTTATATAAAACTTTCTGGTCTAAAGTTTTTTATGAATTTCTATATTCTTTCATTTCCTAAAAGTCAGGTATTTGTTTTCCTGACATTTTACAGTATTCTTAATATACTTACACATTCACCAGTTTATCTGCGTGTTAAATATTTTCACTTGGTTGAGTTGATAAAGAACTTGGGCTTGACCTGGATAAGGACAAGTGTGGGAGAGAGGGATTAAAATAAAAAAAGTATGTGGACATCTAACTATGGATAAAATCAAATAACAAAGTTGTAATAAAAAGCTGACTTAAGAGCCTCATTCTCTGGAGACCACTGGTGTTGAAAAAGAAAACAACAGTGTATTTAATGCTTACCCCTTATTCTTCTGTTAGTGAAGAAAGTAGGGAAATGTAAAGATTGAGTGAAAGCATTAAATTCATATTTGGAATCCTTTTTTTTTTTTTAAAGATTTATTTGTGCATACAGAACTGGGGTACAGGCCAGAGGCTCAGGGGCGGTGAGAGGTTTCACCAGAGAAAAGTGGGAAACAGAACAGGCAGACTTACGAAGTACACTGCTGAGGGGAGCAGTGGGTGGGTCAGGTGAGGTCTGCCACACCTTGTGGTCACCTTTGGGGCAGGCGGGAATCGAACTCATGCGGAAGCAGCTTTAGATTCTCAATGCTGTGCTTTAACCCGCTGCGCCACCAGGGAGGTCCTGGAATCCTTTTTATGTGGTTGTCTTTCTTGAAAACTCCTGTCGTTTTTCTGCTAATTGCAGGCAAGAAATAACCAAAGGTCTTTGAGAATGAGGCTAGTTTTGAAAAAAGTGTAGCAGATTGTTAAAAGGAATCTGCAACCAAGGTTGATATTCAATTAACATGTTACAGTGCAGCCATATGATACGATTTATTGTTCTTTTTGGTGTTTATGCCATGCCAGTTATTAAACATTTTTAATATCACTCTTGGTTGTAACCAAGAGGTTTATTAAGGCAACCTGAGTTCTGGGAAGATCAGGAGGAAAGAAATAACTATCAGGAGAGTAGAATTTAGGAAAAATTCTCACATTTGGAATGTGAGAAGATTTGTAATAAGGACAAACAAAATGGTTGTTGGTAATTTCTAGCATAATTCATTAGAAATCATTTATATCTACTGCTATATCTACTGCTTCTTAAAAGCAGTAGAGAAATACACTATTTGAATTTTTGGAATTTATGATCACATGATGTGTCACACTAAATTTTTTCTTTGTAGCTTCAAAGTGGTATTTGAAAGTATTTAAGCAGCAGGAAAGGCAATTCTGTATTCTTTTTCCATATTGATGTCTGGCTCACTAAAGTTAAGATTTTATATTTAACTGTTAATTTTCCTACTCTTCAGTTTTACTAAATTTGGTAATCGCACTTTACAACTACAGGTTTTTGGGCATTGAAGCAAGTATAAATTAATTCTATTAGATGTTTCATATATTCAGATTGTAAGACTGTTTCATATATTCAGATTGTTAAGAACTCTCACATACAGAATTACATCTAATGTTCCATGAGACATTGAGTTGACAAATGTCTGGCACTTAACAGTAAACAGTTTGAGAGCAAGCAGTTAGGGTAGATCTGTCCTTTCAACTATATTCAATTCTAGAAAAAAAGTTAATAGGTCTACTGAGGTAACTGAATTTAAAGCAACCTAAAAATAATGTATTGATTTGTTTTGACAACAAAGAAAGAAAATGGCTAGATGTGAGGGAAAAGTCAAACTCTTTGGTTAAGCATTTTTGTCATGCGTTAGTCAAATTATCCTTAGGAGTTACTTCAGTTTCAAATGATGAGTCAGAAGCATTCAATGTACTGTGTTCATGTAGATCAGATTTTTTCTGACTTTATCAGTGTCTTGAAAATTTTTGTGTTCATTTGAATAGTTTTTATTAGTATCTTAACTCCTGACAAGATAGAAAAGCAGAGCCTTTTATTTCTTTCTTGAACCCACATGCTTAGAATAACTGCTCAAATACTGAGGTTAGAATCATAGTCACAGTTTTTCTATGCAGTTTTTAACACTGACTCAATGATAGACTTAACTGTCTGAATGACAGCTTTTATCTGTAAATGAAGCTATATATGAACTGACTTTCAGGTGCCTTGTTCCTCCTTGCTACATACATGGCTAATGGTGTTGGTCATACTTAATTCCTATAGAAGTTTTAAAAGTCAGGGCTCAAAAATCATTAACTTAAAAAAAATTTCAAAGGTTAAAAAAAGAAAAAAATCCCTTCTCTATAGCATGTTTTCACTAATAGTCAGAAATAAAAGTTGCCCTCTTTTTTTTTCATATTATGTTTATGTCAAGAACTCATTCATGTTCTGAACTCTAGTGGTTTCTTGCAACCATAAAGCAAAATATTTAAGGACATACGTTTGTGATATAATTGTTCATCTCACTATAAACCATGTGTTTACATAGTGTTTAGCAGTGTCACCTGATGATAACATTTTATCAATAGATTCTTTTCTCTCAGCATATTTGTCATTAATTTTGTAGTTGACAGTAACTATTCTCGTTTTTATTAAAATGAGTTAAAGTTCCTTTGATTGTAGTTTAATCTGCTTTCAGTGACAAATTTCACTATACAGACTTTGGTTTACTGGAGTAGTTGATTGTATGACTGCTTTGTGACTGTTTTATAGTATTTCACTCCCCACCTGGTAATATACAGTAGGAACAAGAACATCTGCTAGTCTAAACTAATCACTCTTAGTTCACTTATCACAGTCAGTTTGAAGATAACACTAACGTCATACTATTTTCATTTGAGTTAAATGTTTTTTTGATCATTTTCACTCTTCAGTGGACATATTTGAATCATTAATTCATTCCCTATATTTGGGTTTTAAGACATTATGACAGTAATAACAAAATAGTATTTAACTAGTATCTAAACAACGCAGTGTGAGAGTTTGTTACCTGAAACAAACAGTTCCTTCTTCCTACCCTAGTTGAGTATGTGAGACCATAGAACGTAGCAACTGAAAACCTAAAACAACTTCTTTGAAAATCATAATATAATTTTCACGTTTTTAAAATGTTTGTGATCAAAACTTTCGACCTTATTCCTTATATTGCCTGTGATCAGTGAAAGATTGGTAGGGACCACCAGTGGTCCCTCAACAACTCTTGAGAAACATTAGCTAAAAGAAGGACTAAAGGATGAGAGGAAAAACTGTATAGAGAAAGAGGTGACAGGTAACATTCTATGGGATTACCTCTGCGTAGCAGATATTTTTGAAAAAAAAAAAAATTCATAGGGATTTAGCCTCAGTCTGGCTGGTTAACTGCCAAATCTATATCTGTATTTTCTCTGGTTTTTAGTGGTGGTAGGAATAAAGGGATGGTGCCAACTGTTTGTCCCTTAATGTTGATAGGGATATACTATGTTCAGTTATAAAAAAAAACATGGAGGACTCAGACTTTCATTCCTTTTACTATTTCCACCCATCTTATAATTTGCTTCCTTTGGGTGAGTTAGGTCTGTTGTATATTTGCAGGTATTTAAAAACTACTGAAATGTGGTCATGTGAATCATCTAAAAACTGTTAGGGATGAAGATTACTTAATACCTTCTTTATTCACTCCCCGTTTTATTGTCTCAAAATTTTCATTTTTATGAAATCATCAGAAAATTTATGTGCACTAAATTTAACTGATAAAAGTTTGTCTTCTATTAAAAATAAACATTTCCATGAAATCTGAGATCAAGTAGTAATCTTGTTTAGCTAAGCATGATTCACAGGAAAGTATCTCAGAAGAGACTTTGATTCCCATATTAAAGAGACTGATTCACAATATTTCAACAATATTTTCTAGTTTTCATCTTATTTTTCATGCTGTTTTAAATGGAATTATTTTCTTAATTTTATTTTGGATTGGTTGTTGCAAATTTGTAGAATACAGTTAATTTATGTATTCTGACCTTGTGTTCTGTAACCATGCTGAACTCGATGATAGTTCTGGTAGTGTCTATATATATACAAGATTGTGTCCTCTGTAAATATAGTTTATTGTCTTCCAATCTGGATACTTTTCTTTCATTCTGTTTCTTAATCGCCCTGGCCATAGCAATTATATTCATTGACTTGATTTCATGTTAAATCAACTTTGTTTTCTAGGATAATTGCACTTAGTTGTGACATACAACCCATTTTAGATGTTGCTAGATTTGGTTTGCTAGTATTGTGGATTTCTGTATCTATTGTCATAATGAATATTGGTGTGATTTTCTTGTGATACTTCACACTGATTTTGGTCTGGGATAATGTTGACCTCACAGAATGAGTTGGGATGTCATCTCTCAAAAATTGCTTTTTTTTTTTTTAGAGAGCTAAGTTATTTTATCAAATGATTTCTTAATTTGGCAGCATCCCATCTGCCTACCTTTAATTCTACTTCAAATGTTTGCAGGTACTAAAGTTGTCTGGTTCTGGGCTTTTCTTTATAGGAAGTTTTTTTTTTTTACTAGTTTAATCTTTAATTCTTAAAGGTCTATTCAGGTGTTCCTATTTCTTCTTGCATCAAGTATTCATAGTTTGTCTTTCTAGAAATTTGTTTCATCTAGATTATCTAATTTGTCAGCTTACATACATAGTTGACTTTTTTTTCTCTAGTTAAGGTGAAAGGGTAGATTATTAGTGGTTTTTTTTAATACTTTAACTTTTAGAGCAGCTTAAGGTTCATAGTAAAATTGAGAGAAGTATAGAGATATCCTGTATGATTCCCTGCTGCCACACATGCCTAGTCTTCATTATCATCATACTTCACCAGAGCAATACATGCATTATAATTGGTTAGTCAGTAGATCACATTTGTTTTTACTTCAGGTATTATGTATTTTATGGAAGTGAACAAATGTAATTGCATGTACCTTCCA